GAGGGAACGTATTGAACTAGAAGTCTGGAGACCTAATTTCAGTTTTGACTTTGGCATTTACTATCTGTGCGACTTTGGACAAATCATTGACTGTCTCACAAAGCCTTGATTTTTTCCTTATCTGTTACGTGAGGATACTACATTGGTTGATCACTCTGATCCCTGTCTTTTCTAATATTGAGCCTTAAAGGGTAGCCATGTAGAAAATGAAATCAGAGACTTCTCAAGAGTGTTTCAACAGAAACACAGAAAAGCCAGGTGACATAGAAAACGAGCAATATATAGCAAGATGTTTCATCTCTAATGGTCTCCCTCCACTAATATTTCGACTAGTTGAAAAGAGAAAATAGGGAGAGAGGATGGAGAGTACTGGGCTATATAGGGAGGCACCGAGTCAAACGTAAGGAAGTTTAGGATTGTTTTCATCAGCACAGGCCAACAGGAACCAAGACATAGGAAAAGATATAAGAACGAAGAGGGGAAGCATAGAGGAGCTCTCAAGAAAAACGTAGTTTGCCATGGAATGTTGATGGGAACCAAAGATTTTAAATTAAAGCACAAACAGCATAGAGTGAATTCTGCTCAGAGCAGGGCAAAACAAAGTTCACTGTAGCAAATCCTTATTTTAACAGACTAAGAGGAAAGTAAGGACAGAAGAGGGTATCACCAGGAAAGGCAGCTTACCAGAAAAGTCATACTCAGTGTTTTTTTTTTCTTTTATTGCCTCTCTGAATACAGTTGGCACTTGACAGTCTTGAATGTTAACATTTTAGAAATATGTCCTAGAAATCACGCTTCCTATATACAAGAAACCAAAGTGGTTATCTAGGGGTCTTCTTTTCAATGTTCTATTCTTTCTAATTTTTAAACTATGTAGACGTTTTACCACTTAAACACTTTAAATGATATCTTCGAGATTGAATCAGAAGGACTATTTCCTTTGTGTGATATGTAGCTTCTAAGGCAAGGTTGCTTTCCATCTTTACAGTTCTTTCCTTCCTAACACAGAGAGCACATTGATCAACAGCCATCGTTCGTTTTTAGATCTTAGCTACCTAAGAAGAAAAAGAAAAAGTCAAGCCCCACATCTCTAATTCCACATTGAGGGAATTCGCTGGCGGTCCAGTGGTTAGGACTCGGTGCTTTCACTGCCAGGGCCACGCGGCGCGACAAAAAAAAAAAAAAAATTCCACATTTATCTAGAACAATATTGCGGAGTCCTTTCGATGTTCTTACATTTGAAAATCTTTTTTAATTGGATTCTAGTGATGACGGTTCTTTTAGGTTTGGGGATGTCATCTTCTTGGATGTTGAAGATGATTATAATCTAAGTTCTAGGATAAATACAAAAACCTTCTTGATACTTTTTAAGCTTCCTTTCTGCTTATTATATATTTCTATTCTTTGAAACATATATTTCTACCAGGCTGAATACTGTTACTTGCTGGGTAAAAATATGAATGGGCACAATAATGAAATTCTTTTACACTTATTATTTTGCTGTCTGCTTTGTACCAGTTTTCATTGAAATACTTGTCTGCATATATTGTGGCTACCTATACACTCACATTGATTGATTTGTTGCTCTTTAGGCATTTTTACGGATATATCTTCTCTGTCTGTATGTACTGGCTAGGAATTCATTCAAAATCACCTTCTATCGTGTTTCTGGGTTAACAGTATTCACTAAAATACAGTGGGCAAAATTCACTTTCATCACATTGCATGTATGGTACAGAATGTCATTTGTTAGTGAACTCATTATGCTCTGATACTTGCCACATACCCCAGTTTTCATAACTAGGTATTTCTCTTTCGTGATGTAATATGTTTTTCATGACTTTTCTTGGTCTTTCTAGAACTTACTGTATCTTCCTCCATATAAATCATACACAATAGGCCAGTTTATTCATGGATTAATTATTACTGCTATTATTACTGGTGCTGGTGTTATAACCACTTTACAGATGAGTAATGTGAAGAAATCAGATAACATTTTTCTTTCCAAAAGCACTTAAGAAATTCTCTTTCGGGTAATCATTTTGAGGTAGGATGAGAAACCAGGCTTGAAGAGGGTAAAAATGACTCTTTAAATTTACCAGTTGGACTGAGCTATACGTGAACTCTAGGTAATAGCGTGGGAACCGCACAAGCAAAGTGAGACACTGAAGATCACGATGGTAATAGCCGTACTGTTTTCTAACGGACAAAAAAAACTGCCTATAGTGTAAGTTCTATTTCTCCTGCTTTCTGGCAGTATCGTGCTCAGAGTAGCGTCCTGGCAAGGAAGTCAGGATACTTAGGTTCTGAAACCTGGTAAGGATACTAACATAATGAGAGAACTTGAACAAGTCAACCCGACCTCCCTGAGCCTCAGTTTCCTTCCTCATGAAATGAGACTGTGAAAATAGGAAGTTCTCTAAGGACCTCCGAGTTCTAAAATGCTTCCAGTCTAGGAAACAGCATACAAGTCAATACTAGTGCAGGCTGAAGGGAAAGATAGGGCAGGGAGAAGGTTGCGTCCAGCCTAGAGAACAATGTCTGAGCCATACCGCTTGGGTCTTCTGCCCATCTGTGCCCAACATGGCAGCACAGGCAGTTAATACAGAAGAGCGTAAAACTGCTCAGTCCTTACAACCATCATAACGGTCTGATTTTTGGTTTCTCAGTAAGTATTGGCATTAGAGGTGTCCTGATAGCAAGAACCTTAAGGTAATGCTGTTCCTCAAACATAGTGAGAATTCATCAATCTCCCTGATGTTTTCATGACCCTCTTGTTCTTTACAGAAAATTTCCAAAATCCATTTCTACTTGGAACTCTAAATTCTCTGCAGCACTCTCTTCCTGTGGTGAGCAATGCAACCTCCCTGACAGGAAGTGCCTGCCACTTCTCCAGAGTCTCTGCTCCTGCCGTCAGTTCGGCGTCAGCTACCGGTAGGTACCTCCTTCCAGACACAGACACACGTGTAGTGCCTACCTTCACCAACAGTCTAGCACCACTACTTTATCTGGAGTTACTGACCAGAGCCAGATCTCCACTTCAGCTGCTTCCTATCCAGGTGTTCTTGACTGGGACATCACAGGAAGCACTGAAAAGAATTCTTCTCCACTCGGAGGCTTTACTCTGGCCGTCACTGACCAGCACACAGCTGCTTCCTCCATGTTTATGGCAGCCCAGTATGATAAAACTGCAGACCCCAATAACATGGTCCCTCTATATCCATCACTTTCTGCCAGGCTTGCTCAGGGAACACCATCTCAAATTCCCAATCAGGGACACAGCCTGTCACTTCCCTACCAGGAAGGAAGGCAGGTATATTACTATAGCCAAGGCACAGTGGGGTCTTCACTGTATGGAGAACTTGGCTCCTGCCTGCAATCCTACGGCTCTGTGTCATACACAGGAAGTAGGGCCTCTGTGCAACCAGAAATGGGAATGGTACTAAGGGAGATTCAGCCCACAAATATCCAACCACCACCTTCCACCTCTGGAATCTACTACCCTGTGTATGCTCAACCCATCACAGAAACAAGTTGTCAAGAAATCCCTGATATTCACCAGCTCCTGGCCTGCACTGATCCCCTCAGCCAAGAGGAGCAGCCTGCCTCTGAAAATGCTGATCTGGGAAAGAACAGCCTGAGTCTTGAGGACCTAGGGACACCTGAAAATGGGATGGAATCTAGCAGTGGTTTTGCAGACGTTACTACACTGGCGGAGGGAATTCACCTTCCCCAGCTCTCTAATTCTTTGAAAGATCCTCATCAATCCAAAGGTCCCAACGTGATCAAAGCCAAAGACAACAGAGCCATTAAGGTGAATCAGGTGCGGGAAAAGCCAAGCGTCATAAAGGCTCCCTCTGATCAACCCAGGAAGAACAAACATAAAGCCTCTGAGCCTATCAGTGCTGCTCCCAAGGCCAAAATCCAGCCAAAGAATCCAGAGTGCCTGTTAGGGGGAGAAGTGGCTCTATGCAATGCTGCCGTCAGTGACAGGGCTCCTGTGAACACGGCCAAGGATTCTAAAGGCAAACCTCAGAAAGCTGCATCCAGAAAGATCAGCAAAACGAAGAGCCACGGGCAGGAAAAGACCAAAAGGACCAGAGGAAGAAAGAAGGCTGACGAGAATAAGCAGTCAGGGAACAAAGTCAAGGCAGGAGAGAAGGCAACAATTCCCCAGACGAAGCGAAAGGAACACCAAACTGAGCTTATCCAAGAGAGCTTTAAAAAGCCTCGAACCGCCCTACGCGTGCGCATGCTGGAGGCTGTGAAGGTTTTTCATGCACTGGGGGAGAAGAATGATAAGAGAACTGGGCTCTCCTCCTGTCGGGTCTTGGGAAAGTCAAGCAACCCTAAAGACCCCCAGCCACCCCCAGCTATCCAGCCATGGCGGAATACCCCACGTGAGGGTAAGGGCCCTGAGAAAACTCAAGTCGAAGCCCAGAAACCAGACAGCAGTGCTGAAAAAGACTGTCCATCTCCATCCCAGTATGTGCTGCTGCCTCCTGGGAAGGTCAAGTTGACACCTCTGCCTTTTTCTGCCTGGGACAAGCCTCAAGCTCGACCTGCTCCTCGGAGGCCACAGTCTCCGGCCTCCCATCGGCCTGCTGTTGCTGACCGTGCCCACCCTGCTTCTGCTAACTCAGCTCAACCTGCTGCAGTCAGTTCTTCCCAGCCAGCTCCTGCCTCTTTGCCAGGTCCTGCCAAACCAGCTCAGCCAACTGTGACCAACCCAACCCAACCGGGTTGGGCCGACCATACCCAGCCTAGTGTCCCTCAGTCTGCTGCTCCTAGGCCTGCACCCTACAAAACTTCATCTTGCACTTCTCTCCAGCGGGAGCCTGTTCCCCCTGCTGTGACTAAGCGCCAGTCCCCAGCCAAGCTCCAAACCCCATTTCTACTCCAAGACTTCAGCAAGAAACCAGTTCCATGGAGGCAACCCAATGTTCCTGAGCCAGTAATGTCAAAGCCCATCGAACTACAGCAGAGGCCCGAGCGGGAGGCCATGAAGAGGCGGGCTCAACAACAACGTGAGAATGCTGCCAAATACACCTCTTTGGGGAAAGTGCAATTTTTCATTGAGAGGCAAAAAGAAATGGAAATTGCTGACTACTACGGATATGTAAAGTAACAGCTGCTAGGATTGTTGGTGCCACCTTGGGGACCAGCTCTTCTTCCATATACAGATAAGACAGGCATAAATTTATTTATATTGGTATATTTTAAAACAATAAAACTGAATAAAAAAGGCAATAGAATTAATAGATGAGTAATAAACCTTTTGAATTTTGAGATGCTGCTAACTGCGGCGTGTTTTTTTGTTTTGTTTTGTTTTGCTTTTGATGGGGTTGGAATCAAAGTCTGCATGAGAAAGGAAGGACTGAAAGTTGGATGGGAGAATGAAGGAAAGGGGTAAAAACTGAGGAAAGAGGAAGGAACTTGGCCCAGGGCTAGGAAGGCCAAAAGAGATTTATGGATTTATGAAAGGAAGCAGGAGTGAGGATGAAATGGCAGAAGTAAAAAGCAGGGTCAGAGGTCAGGGTTGAAAGAACCAAATTTGAGTAGAGTTGAAGATGACAGAAGGTGACCCTAGGTTTACTAGGAGAAATAGAAAAAGTCTCTTGGGGAGGTTGGCCTTAAGTCTCACAACCACCAGATAGGTATTTAAGAAAACCAGAGGTTCAGGACACATCTCTGAAAGGTTTGAGTTGCCATATCCAGGTGTGATTATAGTGGGGGGATAGGGAAATCTACCAGAGAGGTGGCTAGGGCTCAGAGTTATCCTAGGGGCAGCTGACGACAGGGGCAGAGCCAAGGGAACTGCTGCATCAGGAGGCCCACGAATAGGGCCTGGTATGTAAATCACCGCGTACTCAACACCTGAGCACCAGGGCAGCTAAGGCACTATTCAGTTAATCCTGGCAACGACAGGCAAGGCCAGTATTCATTCCTGTGCCACTTCACTTACAGAGGTGAATATAATCATCAAAATCCAGACGGGACAAATTACCTGGTTTCTTTAAAAATAAAATTCAAGGGGGGAAAAAAAAAGTGAGAGAGACATGGAGGGAGAACCTAGAGAGTAAATAAGGCTTCAGAGACCTAACCATCAACGGCAAAGTGTGGACCTTATTTGGATCTAACTCAAAATTCTTAAAAACAATTTTTTATGACATTTAGGAGACAACTGCAAATTTGAGCACTCACTGGGTATTTACTATTAAAAATGATATTAAGGAATAAAAGTCCTATATTTTAAAGATACGTACCAAAAGTATATAGCTGGGGCTTCCCTGGTGGCGCAGTGGTTGAGAATCTGCCTGCCAATGCAGGGGACACGGGTTCGAGACCTGGTCTGGGAAGATCCCACATGCCACGGAGCAACTAGGCCCGTGAGCCACAACTACTGAGCCTGCGTGTCTGGAGCCTGTGCTCCACAACAAGAGAGGCCGCGATAGTGAGAGGCCCGCGCACCGCGATGAAGAGTGGCCCCAGCTTGCCGCCACTAGAGAAAGCCCTCCTACAGAGACGACGACACAACACAGCAAAAAATAAATAAATAAATAATAATAATAATTATTAATTAATTAAAAAATATATATAGGTGTAATTACATGTTGTCTCGGAGCTGCTTCCAGATAATATGGAATGGGGTGAAACAGGTGGGGGTATAGATAAAACATGACAGCCATCAGTTGGTAAATATTAAAGCTGGATGAGATCATGGGTATACAAGCAACACTCACAGTATTTTTATACTTTTGTACATGTTTAAAATTTGTGA